GTTTTCCTAAATGAAGCAGTGCAGTGCAATGCTGCTCCTAAATCAGGCTGATGGTGAGAGTTATTTATTAATTTGTACAGGACCAGACACGAGCTCAGGCAAATAAATACAGACTAGACTGCAGCAAAGAATTACAAACTTGGACTTGCTGTGGGCAAGAAAAGATTTTGCTGGGGTTTTGAGAAGGAGCAGGTGGGTTTGGACCAGCACCCTGTGTGACAGAGGTGGCGTGAGGAGTTGGCACAGGGGTGGAGGTAGAGGGACAAATCCTCCTTTCTGCCAGAGATGCAGCAAAGATGATCAAAAAAACCCAGGCTTTCAACTGCAGTGCAGCAGCTTCTCAGTAATTAAAGCCTGAGATCACCAGCTCTGCCTGTGCCTGCTGCAGCCCAGCTTGCACATCAAAGGGAGATGTTTCCCATGGGGACAGGTCCCACAGCACCGGATTCAGGTTTTGATGGGCACTCTGGGCTGGTGTGTGAGTGATGGCCCAGGAAAGCCCCTTAACAGCAACTCATACTGAGCAGGTGATGACACAGCCCCCTGGGGTACCCAGGCTCGTGGTGGTGCCCCGTGTTCTGGGCAGCACAGGCTCATCCAAAGGGACCATCCCTGGAGCAGGGGGTGGCCCTTTGGGGCAGAGAGGGCTCTCAGCTCTGAGGGCTTGGGCTCTGCAGGTAACACACAGCCTCAGCTTCCCCTCCTGCCAGCACCTGGCCTCCTACCCAGAGAGGATTTATTCCTCCCTGAACAGGTCTCCAATGACGTTATTAATCAGGGAGATGGACGAGTACAACACACTTTATTGTGCACTGTGGATGAGTGATAAGTCTGGGCGCCGATGCCTGGGATAGCAATCAGGGGAGGGTGAGTGAAAGGAAGAGGAGGAAAGAGCAGCATTGTGGGTAAATATGTGCACTTCTGGTGGTGATTACCCTCCAAGTAATTAGTTTTTAAATCAGGCAGACGTTTCGGGAACTACTCACTATGAGCTGCTTTAATTATTTATACTCCCTTTTATTCTTATTATTTATAGTCATCCTCTCTGGATGGGGATGCTCTTTGGAACCTGAACCACCTCCAGCCCACCCTGGCCAAGCAGCCATCTCCAGTGCTGCCAGGCACCCCGAGAGCCTGGGGGGTCCCCCTCTCCCTCCCAGAGCCAGGCAAAGGGGAGTGAGAGCCCATCACTGCTGCGGAAAGCCCTGCTCGGATCGGTAATTAAACTCTCACTCATCTTCATTTCCCTCATTTGTTAAAGTGAGGCCACTCAATAAGCCATTAGTGCAAGGTCCTTTCTGTCAGCTACGGCATCGTTAGGCACATTCCCCTTGGAGACAGCTGGGGAGGGTGCAGGCAGGGGGAGCAGCCCCTTGCCTGCCTCCTCCTCTGCCCAAACCCTCCCCATCCACCCCTCCGAGGTCACTCCTGCCCTGTGGCCAGGGCTCTAGGGAGTGAGGGGGAATTTTGCAACGGCAAACCCTTCCCCCAGCTGGGATTTTTCCCACAGCACCACACAAACCCCTGTTCCATCAGAACATCTGCTGTTGTTGCTCTCTCTTCACCAACCCCACCTCTCCGGAGCTTCCCAACATCTGGAAACCATTCCCAGCACCATTCCCATGAAGGGACCTCCGACCCACTGAGCCCCTCCTCTGGGCTAAACAAAGGCTGCCCTTATTGCTGAGCTGGGGAATTTTGCCTGCCTTCCCCTTGCTCCAGGCAACTTTCTCAATCCATCATCAGGAGAGCATCTGCCCGGGGAGCCCAGAGCATCCTCTGCTTCATCTTCCTCCATGGACACACTCAGATGTCAGCATCTGCCTGGGGAGCCCTGCAGCATCCTCTGCCCCATCTCCCTCTACGAGCACATGCTCAGATGCTGGCACTGAGGAAAGCTGCAAGAAAACCCAAGATCCCAGCACAAGAAAAACCACAATACAGGGAAAAGCTGCTGTAGATTCACCCAGGAGAAAAGCCCATGGTCCATGTGTGTAATTATTACAACTACATGTTGATTTCCCCTCCCAAGAGCTTTTATTCTGGCTCTTGCTCTGGTTATAACAGCAAGAACACCTCGATCTCGCTGCTTTCTCCCCCATGGAGGCGTTTGGCAACAAGCCATGAGAGTGAGGGGAATTTCAGGTGAAGCAACCATGGAACTGCTGTGCAGCACAAAAACAAAAGAGTAATGCTAGGGATGTGTTTAGCATTGGGACAAAGTGGGGCCCATCAGCAACCTTCACCACACACCTCAGTGGATTCCATGTGAGACAAGACAATTCACTGCACCAAAACCCAGGTGAGAGCAAAAAAGCAGAGGAAGAATGTACACAAGCCTGTCCTGTGCTCTACACCCTCACAGGAACCCAACCTGAGTGCTGTCCTCTTGGGTCTGTTTTCATCCAGGTCCAGCATCGCAGAATCCCGGAGGGGCTGAGGTTGGAAAGGATCTCTGGAGGTCACTCACTCCAGCCCCTGCTCAAGCAGGGCCACTCTGAGCTGGTCACTCAGGACCACGCCCAGGTGGCTTCCCAGTTCAGCTACTTGGGGGGAAAAATACAACAAACATGTCAGATGCAGATTAAACCACCAGAATGGACAGTGTCTTGTCTGTAACACCAGAGAGAAACATGGTTCTAAGGAAGGGGAGCCCTCCAAGTGAAGCCAACTTCCAAGGGCATCCCAAAGCCAACCCTGCAGTCACAAAGGGTTTTGAAGACCATCTGCCTGCAGAGCCAAAGCCACATCTGTGTGAAAGACAAGCTGCTGCCTGCCCTTGAACTCGGTGCAACCCACTTCTTCATAAAAATACCAGCAACCACAGTGGAAACAGCTTCCCATGGGAGCAGAGGGAGGGGATCCACCTGCCTCCCTCAGGATCATGCTGGCTTCATCCCCAGGGCACTCAGCACCAGCAGCTCCAGTGTGTTTTAGAGTACCTGGGGCAGGTATCCAAGGTGGGAAGAGTAAAGGGGGTTAGGAATAATTAACCTTCACCCCAAAGAGGGCAGAGGACAGCAGCTCTAGGACTTGACTCTCCCATAACTCCCAGCCCCACAGGGTCCATACAACAACCATCACACCGTGGGCTGGGAACAGACATTTCCAAACAAACCTCCTTCTATTTGCATTCGAAACATTTATTTTGGGAAATACATATTAAACACTATTATTTATACAAAAATGGACTAAATTTTCGTAATGCTTATAACCCCCAAAAGGCCATTTTAATAGATCTGGATGAAGGGTTTTTTTATTGTATTATTTTTTTTTCTTCAAAAAAAAAAAAAAAGTCAGGTTACAAAGGAGAAAGCAGCGTGTCTTGCTTTGCCCAGCTTCAACTAGAGGAAAAAAAAAAGTTCAAGATGACATTTGCAGAAGTGCCTCACACAAAGAGATTTTTCTCCCCTTTCAGTCTTTTTTAACACTTGAAATATATATATATTTTTTCAGTTAATACACTTTTTTTTTTTTTGTTGGTTTTGCTAAAATATAGCAAGTCAGCAAGTAGAGAGTTGCTGTACCCCAACAGCTCCGTGGTGCTGTTGTGGTGGGGGAGGAATACGAGAGAAGGGCAGAATGGATTCTCACAATGCACCCCCCTGCCCACGCCTCTTTGGGAGGACATGTGTGGGGAGCCCCTGCAAACCCTGTACAACGTCATCTGGGCATCCCCACCGAGGTGAGAACAACCTCCTCCTTCCTCCTGGTCACCTGTGCTGAGGAAGGCTCTGTCCCCCGTGGAGACCACGGGGCTTTGCACGCGCCTTCCAGTGCTAGAGGATGGGACACACTGCCATTTTAGTGTGTGCCCCCCAAAAATGGGTGATTTGCAGAAAGTTTTATCCCTTAGAGAGGATATGGAGATTGGTGGAGTGGAGAACAGAGAGGGAAGCGGAGCTGGGGCGGGGGCAGGACTGCAGAGCTCTGCTTCAGGACCATCCTCTCTCTCGTGTGTCACGGTGCTACCTCACCCTTGCAGGGACTTATTTACTGGAGATACACTGGAAGAGGAGGTGCTGGGGGGCAGAGCAGGGGGAGGCGTCGGGCACAGCACCCACAAACACAACCCCAGCCCTCCCCAGGGTGGAGGGCTCGGTCTGCACGTGCACAGACCCCCTGCACAAGGACCAGCAAAACACAGGAGTGTGTTACATGGACACACGTCACACAGGGGAACCAGAAAATAAAAAATGATTGAAAAATGCCCAACAGCCTCCTCTGATGTAGGGAAAAAGGCCCAAGAATCACAAGGGTAAGACAGGACAACCCTCCACCTCCCACCACCGCTTTGTGGAGACGTTCCACTCTCAGCCCCCTTTGGACAAACACACTCCCAGCCTTCAGCACACAAAAATCCCACCCAAGTGAATGAAAAATAAATACACAAGTGTTCTCAGGACATCAGCCACATCTATGGTCCAAGGGAGAGGGAACAGGAGTCCCTACAAAGGTCTGCAGCCTTTTGCAGGCTGCACAGACAAGGCAGACCCTCCTTCCCCTCTCCCACACTATTGCAAGGTCACAGTCTGAAAAGGCACTTCTCCCAAAGCAGGTCGCTCTGCCTGGCAGGGGGTCGGTGACAGGCAAGGTGACACCTAAACACTCCCAGTTTATTGCATGTAGATGGGGTACAAGGGTTGGGTTGGGGGCTGGCAGGTCCTGGAGGGCTGCAGAGGGCTCGGAGGAGGCGGCAGGAGACAAGGATGGCACTGTCTTGCTCTCTTCGTCCCACCCGTACCTTGCTTCCGAAGGCTACATTCACCTGGAGAAACCCTTTTGCCTTCAACGGACGGAGGGGCAGGCAGGGCTCCTGGGGGCACCCCAAATCCTGCTGGCCCCGTGGATCTGCTCCCCTGGGTTCGGCTGCCGGGCCAGAGCTGGGGGTAAGTGAGAGCTCGACCTCCACGGAGGGACAGTCCCCAGCCCAGGAGCGCTGGGCCGGGGGCCGAGAAAGCAAAATTATGCAACAAAGTGGGGGGCGAGCGGGCCGCCCTCGCTCCACACCTGGTTTATTTGGTCAGTTAACATGGCAGGGGGTGGGGGACCCACTGAGGGGAAGGGGGACAGTGGCAGAGGATTTATATAAAAATAAAGGGGGGAGAGGGGAGAAATAGCGAGCGTGAGCGAGCAAGGTCCTGGCTACGGAGCGAGACGGTTACATTTCGTTAGCCACCAGCTCTTTGTCGGTCACGCCGTTGGAGAGCGAGCCCTGGCCCTCGTTCAGCCTCTTGACCCTGTAGGCTTCGAAGTGGATGTTGCTGGTAATATCCTTGATGTTCTGCATGTGTGTCCTGCAGGAAAGGGAGAGGGGAGCAGTCACATCTTGCTGGGAGCAGCTCAGCTGCCCAGCCTTCACCTCTGCACTCCAACTCCTGCACACCCCAAATACTGCTCCAAACAGCCCCAATGTCCCACCCTGCTTTGCTGGTTAACGGTGTCTTTAGGGAAGTAAAGGCAAGAAGGGGCAGCCAGGGCCAGAAGCCTTCACTGGTGCTGCAGAACACCCATCTGGGGAGATCCCGGTCCTGCAAGTCCTGGGATCAGGTTTTGTAGTCCCACCCAACTACCTGTCAGCAACAGCTCAGGTGTGCAGAGTCTAAGAGCCAAATTTAGGAGGAGCTCAATAACCCTTCTAGCAAGCCAAGGGAGCTCAGCTTCCCCCTGCCCTGCAGCAGGGACACCTCTTTGAAGGAGGAGCAGCCATCACCCAGACCCTGCAATGACACCCTGATGGAGGGTGATGTCTTTAGGACTGGTGAGGGATCACTAAGGCCAAAAGCTGCTTGGCAAGCATGCTGGAGCCACACTGCACACTGCCAGCAAAGCTGGAGTGTCCCAACCCATCCACTGCTCCTCTCCTCCCTTAACTCAGCACTGTAGCTGAGAAAAGCCCCCTGGAGTCCCATTCATGGAGATCACCCCTTGCAGAGGCTGGGAGGGGATGGGGGAAGGGATGGATGGAGGAACAGAGCAAAGCAGTTGCTTCAAGCTGGGCTGGGCTCTCCCCTTTCTTTGGATGCCACCTGGTGACTGAAGACTACTGGGAGAAGGCAGAGTCCCACTGACCTGATGAGGAGGTCCCGCAGGTAGGCGAACTCACAGTGTGTCGTGTTCTCCACTGGCAAGAGGGGAGAGAAACCCATCAGTGTGCACCCATGGCATGGGGACAGCAATCCCTCAGGGTAAGCAGGACCCTGGGGGGCTTCACCAGCATCTGGAGGGCTCAGACAGGGTCTTACATCCTGGGGCTACAGGATGCAGGACCCAGCAGTCCCCTTTGCTGCTGTGAAGCTGGTAACAGGTACCTGCCCCAGCTCAGCATGACCAACTGGCTGGTGAGGTCTGACTGAGCATCCACAGTCCCTTCCCACTGTGTTCCAACAACAAAACCAAAAGCAATGTCCTTTGGGACCCCCTTGGGCCCCAAACAAGGCAGGGGAAGGGGCAAGGTGAGCTCTGCAGTGAGCACCAGGCCTGTCTCCACAGAAGTGCTGGCCATGAGCATCCTGCAGCATTCTGGGCACGCTGGTGACAGCTGCCTGGGCTGCTGGTGTTGTGGAAGGAAACAATCTCTTGGTGACAGAGGCTATTGCTGTTGGAACAGGGCTTGGAGCAAGAGGGGTGTTTGCAAGAGGGAAAAGTCAAAGGGTGTTGCTCCACCACAACTGGTCTAACAGCTCATATGTTACCCCTAAATTTACTCAATTTAGAGGATGAATTCCCTTTTTAAATTATTTTTTTTTCAACCCAAACAGGCTTGTACATAGAATCACAGAATCCTTTGAGTTGGAAATGACCTCTAAAAATCACTGAGTCCAACCACTAAACATCATCAGGAATGGCAAAACAACAAATAACAGTGTTCTGCAAAGGCTGCCTATGGCTGTGGCTGTGTCCTTGAGGTCTCCCTGTGCTGAAGGGAGATACCACAAGCAGAAGGTGAGGGGTTTAATGAATCCCATTAAACCCAGAACTTCCAAAGACACAGCACAAGAGGGCAGCAGAGCTTTAAAATACACTGATTTTCCTGGCAGCTTTGTTAAACCATCCCTCAACACAGGATTCCTATAAAAAAGACTCATAAATGAGGGGAACCAAACGAATGTGAAATGAAGGGGAGGAAGATGAGAGGGGTGGTACTGGAGATGTGCCAGCTGGCTGCCAGAAACCAAGGACAAGGAAATGTGTAGATGTGCTGGAGCCAGGAGCTTTCATCTAGCCTTTAAACCATCACTGTAAAATGGGGGAGAAAAAAGGAAGATGCTGATGGGAAATGGAAGAGGGAAGAGATCCCACAAGGGCACCAACCAAAGGCATGGTGGAGGGTACAGATGCCAGGGGAAGGCTCTAGCAGGAGCTTGTGTGCCCTAAAATCCTGCCATCAGGTAGGATTTAACTGTGTAAAACTGTTTAACTGTGTGAAAAGCACAAACCAGGCCATAAGACCACCAGAAGTGTCCCCTTCAGCACTCAGCAGCCCCCTGAGCCACACAAAGGCCACACTGGCCAAGGTGTTTCCAGTCCTCAAACACCAGGGAATTTATCTTCTTTGGAGGGGCAGGGAAGCACTAAATACACTTCTACTGCTGGTTTTGGACCTCACTGCCTCCTGTCAGGGCAGGGAGATGGGCTCTGGGGGTAGGAAATCAAGAATAAGGTACCTTCAATGGTGCCCCACTTGGTCTTCCTTCCAAGGATTCTTCTTCCATTAACCTGGTATTCCTGGTCACTGCCCACCACTGCAAATGGGATCATTTCCTGATCAAAGGAAAAAAACAAGGTCATGTTTTCCTCCTGAAAACTGGTCAGGAAACCAAACTGGTGAGCAAAGTCCTACATCAAGCTGTTTTCAGGAGAGTATCACGGGATGAGCTGGTCTGTCCCTGATATTCCTGAGCAGTGTTGCTCGCCAAGGTCTGCAGGCAGCCCAGGACCTGGGCAGCAGTATCTCTTGTGCAAGTGCCCAGTCCAAAACCAGTCTAAACCCAGTCCAAAACCAGTCTAGACCAGCCCCTCACTGGCAGGTGCCAATACACAACCAGAGCAAAGGTATCAAGATACTTCCCTGGGAATTGCCCCCAGCATCTGGCAACCCGTGGCCAGATTTCTGGTCAGTCATTTCCTGATCCAAGGTGGTATCTTTGAATTTAAGAGCCCCTTGAAGATTTTTTTCTTGCTTGAATTTGTCCAAACCACTTTATTGAGCCAAAAAATTCCCAGCTATTTCCTGTGGCCTGGAATTGGCAGCCACAGAGCAGGGCAGACTAGGGGGAAATTCCCTCCTGGTGCTGGGAAGGCTGCTGCCCTAGCCAGGGATGGGCAGGCACCATGCACCCCCCTGCTTGCAGACTACTGAGGAATTCCTTGGAGGAATGGAGATGGGGAAAGGAGTATGGACAGAAGAGGACACCTTCCCCAGGAGCCTTTGTCACCCTCTTTCTGTCCCTGCTCTGAGCTCTGGAAGGATCCTTGGTTCTGGCCAGACCCCGTGGACAGGGCACAGCAGCCTTGGAAATAAAACAAGAGGCCCTTTGGCAGGGACTCCCCCAGGACATCACCAGCCCCCAGAGCTGCAGGGCCCATCCAAGCCCCTCACACCAACCCGGAATTTCTCGTTCACTAGCCGATCTTCAGAGTCCTCATCAAACTCCTTCTGAGGGTACACGTCGATCCCGTTGGCCAGAAGATCAGCCATTATCTAGGAGGGAAGAGCAGAGGAACATGTGAAGGGGATGCAGGCAGAGGAGCTGCACTGTCAGCACAGCAGCTGCTCACAGCCCACCCGAGAGGCTCTCTGAGCAACGTCCACCAGTCACAGCAAAGTCCAGCAGCAGCTCTTCCCTTTCCATCCTAAACATTGCCCACCTGGGGGAGAGACACCTGTGTTTACCTGCCACACACCCACCAAGTGCTCACCCTGGAATCTCTGCAAGAACCTGGTGCCAAGACACAACTCAGGCTGAGAGTGAGATGAAGTTACATGAGCTGGGCGTTGTTTTGGGATTGAAAAAGACAGCATGACATTACAAGCTGCCCGAGCAATGGGGAATGCAGCTGCCAGGCTTGTAACCCAAAGTTAAAAAGCTGATTTCTGGTGTTTGTTTATGCTCCTTGGAAAAGGAGCTTGATCCGAGGGGACAAGGACACAGCTTAGAAGAGTGGCCTCTAAGGACTTTGCCTCTGTGCAAAGCAAAGAAATGCTGAAATCTGAGTCCTGGGTGGAGGCTCAGCTCATGGGGAGCTCAGAGGATTAGCCTTCTCCTACAACACTGCAAACTCCAAGTCAGCTTCTGCACCCACTTCCATTGCTTCCTATGGCTATAAACTCCTCCACATCAGTCCTACATTGCAAGCTGGGAAAGGAAGTGGATCCAGCCCAGGGAAATCCCCCATCCAAACCCACACACTGTGTTTAGGGGAATGACCCAACAAAGCCAACTCCACAAGGCACCAGAGTCCCTCATTCAGTGCAGCACTGGCATCAACCTGCAGCCAGGCTGGTGCTTCATCACTCCCTGCCGACCCCAAACTGAACCCAGAACAGCTCTCTGAACCAGCTACACCCCCAGATGCAGACAGGGCTCTGCTTTTTGGAAGCACAGACACAGGCACACTGGAGTGAAGGGAAAAGGTCCCAGCCTGTGCCCACCCAGTCTCATTTCCTGCTCTCTCATCTCCACCAGTGAATCTGCAGCCAGGAGCATAAGGAGAGTGAGCAAACACACCACGTGGCTACGTGTTCTCCCTCCATCTGGAAGGATTTGGGGGGTCTGGTTATAATCAGGAATGTAATCAGAGATGGGACGAGCTCATCCTGCACCGAGCTGGTGCAGAGCAGGCGAGTTGTGTGATCCCTACCCACAGTGTTCCACTACACAGGGATGGCAGCAGCAGCCCAGAGTGTCCAGGTGACATTTTAAGTCCAAGACTGACTGACTTTGTAGTCCCAGAGTCACCCACAGACACGTGGATATGGGCACTGGTAACCTCTGAATGGAGCCTTCAGTCTGCAAGAGCCACCGCAGAGAGCAGATGTGGCACTGTGGACTCAGCCCTCCGTGTTCTCACACCAGCTCCTCACAGATCCCATGCAAACAGGCTGACATGCCAATTGAGCCCAGCCTGGATTACCTTTCAACTCCATTTCCAGCTATCCTCTAGCCAAGGAAACTGCTTGCAGAGTTCGAAGTTTGGATTCAGCTCTCAAAACCAGACTGGATATTTCAGTGCCTGATCCTGCTCACCAAGAACTGGGAAGACACTGGTGTGGGAAGGAGTGGCTCACCCTCTTCTGCACAGAAGCATGGAACAACGCCTGGCTAAGGTGTTGTCCTCTCTATAACTAATGGACTCTAAAACTGCCTTTTTGGCAAGACCCATTTCCCTTCACTTCCCTGCAGTTCAGACTCATGGACCAAGGAGCTTGGTGGTTTGCTTACTTCTGTAGGGAATGCTGAGGCCATCACACCTGCAGCCACATCCATCAGCTACACCAACGGATTTACAGTCCCTTACCAAACCCCAAAATGGGGTATTTCCACCTCTTGGAAGCCTCAGGGGTACACGGAGCAAAGCTCATGCCTTGCTGCGGATTTGAACAGCCTCTCCTTGGCTCCCACCACCAGCTCCTGACCAAAGGAATTTCATACCTTGCTTCCCTCTTAAATCTTGCCCAGCTGAGCTCAGCAAACCCACACATTTTTTTGCCTGGTCCCTGTATCAGCGCACGATGCCGCACGGGGAGGTTTTCACTCCCAAAATAACAGAAACCATCCTGAAAATAACAACAACAATAACACAGGAGGCAGGAGGAGCAGGCCTGGAGACTTAGGGCTCCACACTTATCCTGCACTGACAAAGATCCAAGAGAAACACAAGGAACCGCTTGGAGCGCAGGCCTTTCCTCCGGCCACGTGGGATCGCTCGGAGCTGCAGCCCGAGGAATGCGCTGGGCTCCCGGCCAGGAGCTCGCCTGCCCAGCCCTGCCGGGGGAGCCAGGAGGGGGAGAGGGGCAGGAGGGGACGGGGACAAGAGATGGGAGCCCGGGGATAAGAGCCACCGACCCCTTACCCGCTGCTTGAAGTAGTCCCTCTCCTCCAGCGTTAACGTGTCAGCCTTTGCGATCACGGGGACGATGTTGACCACTTTGCTCAGGCGCTTCATGAACTCGATGTCCAGCGGTCGGAGCCTGGAAAACACAGCAGGAAAAAAAAAAACAAAAAAAAGGGGATTCGAACACCCTCAGCGAGGTGGGAGCTGCTGCAATCCCCTGGCAGAGAGCGGCATTCAAAGATCAGACAGAGGGGGAATCACTTCCTTTCAGATAGGACAAATAAAGACATTTTCTTAAAAGCACGGAGATCATTTGCAAGCACTTAAAACATTTCCCTTTCAAAGCACCTGCTATCGCCTGTGAACCTTCACAAAGGCCCGTGAAGTGGCAGAGGGCTTTTATCTCTGCAGGGCTGCTCAGCCACAGAGGACTGCGGGAACTTGCCCAAAGCTACACATGTCCTTGGTGAAGCCGGGATGAGAGCACGGGCAATGCTGGCTGCAGGGCCAGCCCACTGCCATGTACAAATCAAAACCTCCTCCAGCTCTATCCAAGCTGTCACCAACCATCCAGGAACAGCACAACACGAAAATGGCCACAGGTGACTATTCCTGCTCACACTCCCCCCCTGTGCTGAGCACCAGTCCACTGCTGTGCATGAGCCAGGACTGCATCTCACACCATCAGTTGGGATTAGAAAAAGCTCTGTGAATTCTCCAGGGCTTCAGGGAGCAAAGAAGAGATACTGCTTGCTCCAGAGGGCAAAAATGTCAGAAAATCTCTACAACAAAAGTCTCTGTAGAGGAAAACTGAAAAGACTGCATAACCTCAGTGATTAGTGCCTTGGGAAATCCCTCTCTGCTGAAAGCTCCTGCTGACAACACTGACACGGTCTCTGGTGCCACACTTCTCCACATCCAGGTGTTTTTACTGCTGGGGGTTCCCAAACAAGCTAGAGGAAAGCCCTTCTTGGGGCACCTTCAATTGCTGCAGGAACCCCTCAGTGGCTCTGGAGGTGATGGGGACACACACATATGCAGGACAGTGGAGCAGATGTTGCCTTGAAAAAGGAAACCTGGAGGTCCCAGGGTCCAGGAACACCTTTGGGATAGGAGCCTGATTGAAATAAGCACTCATTGAAAGCACACTGAAGGGGCAGGAAGGTCAATGTCAGTGTCCCAGAAGCAAAGGGACACTTCTGTCACTCACACATCCCCAAGACCTCCAGAGCTGGCATGTGCCAGCAGGACACGAGCCCAATTCATCTTTGGGGCAAAGAGAGGTGAAGTCACCTTTTGGAGGAGCCATGGGCATCAGTGGCAGAGTTGGGACCAAGAATGAGACCTCAACTCATGGCAACAGGGAAGAAACCAAAACAAATGGGACAGTGATTTAAAAGGCTCAGGTGCAAGCGGGCATCCAGCAGGAGCCCTCTGGGGGAAAACACAGAGTGGAGCACTCAGGGAGAACATGGCCAAGAGAGCACCTACTGCCAACACACTCAAGCAAACCCCACCACAGTCTTCTCAGGCCCTACAAAGGGCTCGGAGACCCCTGCAAACCCAGCAAGAGCCACAGGAATGCAGAAGGGAAGGGATTGATCCCACTCCTCAGCAGTCACCAGGCAGCATTCCCATCCCATGGGATCACCCCTGCTTGGCTCCAGTGCCAAGGGAGGGATGTCCAGGAGAGACCCACTCAGCTCACGCTGATCTGAAAACAGCAGCTCAAGGCTGCTCCAGAACAGCCAGTGCTGGTGACCCAGTGAACTCCTCCCTGGTCAAACCCACTCCTCTCCCAGGGATCAGGCTGGACTGTGCCAGGTGGACCCTGTCCCTGCACACTAATGAGACACATAGCCCAGAGCACATCATTAGCACATGGACAAACAAGGTCCCAGCACAAACTCAAGAGTCACAGATCACCCTGGGCCCCAGGAAAGAAAGATTTTGGCTATTAAAGAAAAAAAGAACAGAAAAAAACTACAAGGAACCCCCCATGGACACATCTAAGCTGACTTGCTGCTGGCAAACATTGTTTGGAGCTCTGCATAATGTATTTCCCAGACCTCCAAGGAAGTAATGCAGTTATGCTCCTTTCCCAGTAGAATTCTTTCCCCTCCTCTCTCTTTGCTATTTTCCAAACAATTTTTTCCCTCTAAAAGCTTCTTCCCCGCTGAGTCTGTGTTCCTGCCTCTTTCATCAGCTTTTCCTTTAAAGACCAGGATGCATATGTAGCGAATGCAGATGAATTCACAATCAGGCAATCAACTGAGCTTCAGCTCAAACTACATGGTAAAAGCCCAGTTACCCTCAGATCCCTCACAGATACCCAGGATGCCAGAGAACAGGAGGCAGAGCCAGAGCCAGCCCACTTCTCTGCTGTGTCCACCCCATCTACACAGGCACAGTGACCATGTCCATCTGCACCCAAAGCCAGAAGAGCCCAAGGCACCTTTGACACGATGTTGTGGTCTGATGGGCTCCTGCAAGTGCCTCGTCCATGGGAGGTCACCTCCCTGCACCATCCTGGAGAACATCATGGGACTCCCCAGAGGAACAAACTATCTGTTATTTAGGGTATTTTGCAACTTTCTAGATATTCTACCAATTTCTGATGGGTAGCCCCCAAAAAACCTTAATTATTTAAAAGAAAGTTAATCTTTTCACTAACAACAAGACCTGTCACTAGACATCATGTTCATGTGAAGACATCAAAGGAGAAAATATGGCTTGATGATGACAAGCTATCTGTTCCAAGCAGATCACAGAAGGGAGGGTAGAGCTCAAGAAAAAAAACATAACCTGTTTTCTTCCCCTTCCCCAAATGGTCTTTGATATTATTAACTTGCAACTAGCCATATACATGCTTTGGGCTTTGCTGGGAGGGGTGGAGGAGCCCTAAGGGGAGCAGATGGGCTGGAGCAGGAGGTGCAGGACGGACTCCAGCCCAACCCAGACAGGGCTGGTTGCTCCCTCATCCCCTCTTGCTATGGGGATGGGAAAAGCTGTGCAGCTGGGCACACACTGTCATGGCTGGGCACATCTTCTCAAGGCTGGACACACGCTGTGGTGGCTGGACACATGTTATTTCTGCCTTGCCCTCAGCCACTGCACACAGACAGGGTCTAAGCAGAGGCTCATTCCTGCTGGTTCCCCTGAAATGCTATTACAGGAATCAAAATTCACAGCGAGCTGCAAAGTTATTTCCTTTTGGTTGTGCCCCAGATCAAACTCACAGCAAGAATTTGAGCCCTGTGTTAAGCAAACACCGGTGAGAACCCAACAGCCACCCAACCCCATCACCTGCTGGAGGGAGCTGGTGGGCACCTGAGAGGGGCAGCCAGCAGGGAAAGCAGCACTTGGGGCAGTCCCTCAGCCAACAGCCCTGGTACAGGCAGCAGAGGGGCTGCTGAGGCCAGGCAGTGTTCCAGAGCCCCATTTCCGAGTTGAACAGAGCTTTGCAGGGGTCGGAGCAGAGATATTTATTGGGTGGCAGAGTCAGGGTTGTGCAGCTGCAGCTGAAAGCCCCTGCCAGCACCATACTCAGTCTTCACAGGAATGGTTATATGGGAGTGTTACAAGAAGGACAGGCTGTGTGCAAACTAGATGGGCTGCAAAGCCTGGCCTGAACTCCCTTGCAAACTTCCTTGCACAGCAGAAACTTCTCCTCTGATTAACCCTTGAGCTGCTCAGATGGGAGGGCCAGACTGAAACAGAGCTGAGCAACCCTCTGCTCTGGCCTCTGAATCTCTGTACCTGGTTAATTTTGCTTTTTATCCTCTCTCTCACCTTTTTATTTAAGTAAAAAGTAAGCTCTCCCCCAATGACAGGCTTAACCCAGCTGCCTGCAGCACCCACGTGCCAGGGAAGGGATGCTGAATTCTGTGCTGTGCCCATCCACATCAGCAGGGAAGGGCAGATGGACACGAGTCACTGCTGCTTTGGCTTGTGAAGGCAGCAGCTCCCCTAAGAACTATCCCAGGAGGGGTGGCACCAAAATTCCCAGGATGGCAAGTGGAGCATGCAGATGGCATCATGTGGGCATGGTGGGGTTCTCTGGAGTTGGGTGTCCCCAGTGCAGGTCTCTGCAGCTCTACCAGCCACTGCCCTTGCCAGCCATCCTCCCCATCATCTCCCACAGAAGCTGGAGGCACCACTGCAAGGACCTTGATGGCCTTGCCATACCCTCCTGCAAGGAACCACAGATCACCTGCCTCAGCCAGGGCACAAACCTGCACTCAGCCTTGTATGACAACCCCAGGACGTGAGTTCCCAAGCAGGATCTGCTGCTACTGGTGCTGCCACAGCAGCTCTACCCCAAAATAGAGGTGGCCACATCATCTTTTCAGGGGCACCACTGGGGACAGTCCATCCATGGTGACAAGAAACATAACTTGGGCTTCACAGGAGAGCAGAAAAGAAGCCTGCTCGAGCTCTCTGAGAAGCAAAATTTCCCACTGACTTCTCCCTCCCGGTGGGGTTTGCCCCCTTCACTCATTTCCTCTGGTTCCCTCCATCCCGTGGCAGGAGGGGGCGTGTGAGCCAGTGACAGTGGGGCAGGACAGAGCAGACCCTGAGCCACGGCCAGAGCAAGCGTCAGGCTGCGGGGAAAGAGGATCAGCACAGGGCTCAGCAACAACAGCCCCCAGCTGCTGGGCCTGCTCGGATATTGGAAACACATGTTTGCTGGAGAGAAAGAAAAAAAGCAGCTGAATATCCACACAATTGCTGTGAGCCGGCGGGTGAGAGAAACCAGAGCGCGCGGCTGGAGAGGCTCCGGTGGGGGACACGGGGATGGGGCTCCACATCCTGCGCTGCCCGGGCACCCAAAATTTCCAACCTCTGTGCAGGTCAAACACCAGCAGGGTCTAAGGATTGGGTGGGTTTTTTAAGAGTGGAACAGCCCCAAGCAATGAGGGAAAGCTGGAGTGCAGCTCACGCTGCAGTGGCCGGGCCTGCCGAGGCAGGGTCTGTAGATCTGGGCTGAGATAAGCGGGACCAATACGGTGGACTGACCTAAAAATGTCATCTTCCTTTGAAACCTTTTCTGCTTTATTGTATTAAACCATAAACGTTTTGTCAGCCCCTCTGCTCCCAATCAGTTACCCAAGAGGAGCATAACTGGCCCATGCAGTCATTTTATTCCAGTGAAAGATGCATTTTTGGTCTACCCACTGACAGAAGCAAAACAAAGTATTTTCTATTAGAATAAATCTCCACATGGGGAAGTGGAAAAGGCTGACATGAATACAGTGCTTGAGGCTTAAATTTACTTTTGAAAACAGACCCAAAAACATCCCCATGCAGACAGAGCCAGAAGTAGGAGGAATTGACACAAATCAAAAGGAAACTTAGGTCTCAGTTTACATTGTGATACTTCAAGCCACATTTTTCAAGACACTCTAAGCGCCCCAGATTTTCATGGTGGGCTGTGTGCCTAAGAGGAAAAAAAAAAGTAAAAAAAAAAAAAGTAGAGCGAGATCTGGGCCTTTGATGCTGTCACTTGAGAAGTGCCAGAGCCAGGAGAGCTCTGGGCTGAATAAACAGCATCCCACTTGCAGACCAGTCAAACAACCTACAAAATACCCTTACAGGGTGAGGGTGTTTGCTCCCTTAGAAGCACAAGGAAAACTGGCTTCTCCCCTTACAATGTCAGGGGCACAGCAAGAAAAAAATTAACGTTCTGCTTGCAAAGGCAGCACCTCCAACCAATCTGAGAGCTGGTGTCCACCCTTGGCAGAGCAAGCCAGGTGAGCACAGCAAAGCAAGCAGCTCCCTGGAGCTCAGAGAGGCTTTGATGGCCCTATGGAAGAGGAAACATCACATTTCTCTGGGGTACAGCAGCTCTGCTGTGTTATTGCAAGGGCTCCAGATGCCACAGCCCTGAGAAGGACAGCTTCACGCTGTCCTCAGGCTCCTCAAGTCCCCAGGAAACACAGGAGGATCCCAGGCAGAACTGTGAGCTGCCCTGGACTGAAGGCAGGAGAGGGAAGCCCGAGGGGGTGACAGGGACAGCGGGGTACGTACGAGTGGCCCGTGGCTGGGATGAAATATATACAGCAGTGGACCCGCGTGTCAGGGATCCGCTTCTTCCGGTTAATGTTGGTTTCCTCCTGCAGGTACTTCTCGTACTGGTCGTTGATGAACTTCATGATGGGCTGCCAGCTGCAGAGAGAGAGAGGAACACGGGATGATGGGGTTGTGTGAGGGATCTGGACCACCCTGACCCTCCCACCTGGCCTGTGTGAAGCAGAACCCTCCAAGGCAGGGACACTCAGCATCTTAGAGAATCCCACAAACCTCGCGTGTTCACTGCTTAGCAACTCCATGCACTGATGAAGGGGATTTACTGGCTGGTTGAGACAAGCAAGTGCCTAAAAAGTGCTCCCTTCTCTCCTCCTGGACCTGGCTGAGGGGCAGGACATGGCTGGGAGCACACCTTGGCTCCTTGCATGGTGTCATAGCACAGGAGCAAGAGCAGAATCAGACCCCACAAACCCAGCTCATCTCGTGGTGAGGAGAAGGCACCTGCCACTGCCCAGCCCTGTCCAGCCCCGGGGGCCATCCCACAGAGCCAGTCACTGTCCCAGGGATTCCAGGGACAGTTCAGCCTTCAGAGCCACATGAGTGAGGTCCGGGGACTGGCCCTGCTGGCACACAGCTGCTCCTGGCCACAAACAAAGGTTGTCTCATGCCCGGAACAGCAGGATGTTTGTGGGCTCTCACAGGGCCCAGGGTCAGCCCCGGGGCACATGGCACCGCGCTGCCACCACAACAACCCTCCTCCCTGCTCCCCACGGAGCATGGGTGGCACAGGACCAGGCTACAGCCCTCAGCACCAGGTCAGGATGGGCCGGGGCTCACCCGCCTTCCCTCTGCCCTGGTCCCCGTGGCAGCTCACCAGTTCTCATTGTTGATGTGGTCTCCAAACCCCGGGGTGTCGATGACCGTCAGCTTCATGCGAACCCCCTTCTCTTCAATCTCTGAAAGGGAAAGGAAAGCTGCCACGTGAGGCAAACCCACCCTCCCAAAATCAGCTGCAGGACTGGAGCTTGCTCCCAGAGGAGAAAAGTACCTCCACAGCTTCTCACAGCCACAAATCAGCACTCCAAAGGAGCCCCACATCTGCCCTGAAATGCCATCCCCACGGCCACCTCATTTGCTCCCTTTCCAACAATATTAAGCTAATGATGATGAATAAAGAAAAAAATAAATGTTTTCTCATCCCTGCAAACATCACAAGACTGTAAAAGCCCCTTCAGAGAGATGAGGGTGGAGGTTTAGTGCAGGACAATAACCTCTGTGAGCCCCCAGAGATACAAGGCAGAACAGGACCAAGAGCCAAAGCACCAGGTGGGACCTGCAGAGCCTCACCGTGAGTGATGGATTTGATTTCAATGGTCTTGGGGATCCGCTCCTCAGAAGTGGGCTGTACAGATTTCCGGCTGATTTTGGATTTGAAGAGGGTGTTGATTAATGTGGATTTCCCCAAGCCGCTCTGACCTGGAAAAGAGCAGGATAACCCACGGTCAGCACTCACTTGTTTCCAGGCTGTTCTGTGAGGGGCCAGGGAACGGGGATGCTGACAGACTCAGCCTGCACCGGATCTGCCAGAGGGAGGGAAGAGGTGCAGCTGCTCCCCTGCAGCTCCCCCGGCTCAGGGAACTCATGTCCAGCCGGGCAGGAAAATTCTGCAGGCAGCAAACTCCTTCCCTGGCTCGCTGGGAGTGAGCAGGTCAAGAGCTGGTTGCCTGCATCCAGGCAAAATCACAGCAAACCCAAGGACAGGCAGACACTACTGGGGATGTTTAGAGGGCTGCAGTGACACTTGGCAGCCCTGAAGAAGGGCATGGGAACCAGGGAATCCCAGGAAGGAGCATCTTGACAAATCTGTGCCTTTACTCTCTTGCACTGTCCTCTGTCGAGCTCCACAGGGAAGCCTTTGGAGCAGCTTGGCAAGCCCTCAGCTGGACAGGACTAACAACAGCAACAATCTTACAAACCTCAGCCCTGACCCATCTGCTGCTCCTGCCCTGGCGGACTTGCTGTTGCAATCGGACCAGCTGGCTGCACAGATCCCTTCAAGCAGGTCTAGGCCAGGAGCTTCTCTGAATCCCACAAACATCATCCCAGGAAGCACATGAGACTCCACAGCTTCCGAAAAAACAGCTTTTAGAGACAAGCATTTTCATGCTTCATCTCCCAGAGCTGAGGCCAGTCTGCAGAGAATGGACACCGGCAGCTCTCGACTGTCCAGATCAACTGTCCCATGGGCTCGGAGAACAATTTTTCCACAGCAAAGAAAACAGACCAACTCCTCTAAATCCAGGAAGCAGCTGGCTCCTGCTTCAGAGTAGATATTCTGTGCCCCCTACAACCACTGCAGAGTTCCTGCATACACTGTGAAGACCCCTCCAGCCCTGTTCTGCCAAGATACGCTGCAGCCAGCTATTGTGGCATTGCCACTGCCATGTCCCTTGTCCCACACAGTGTCCCTAAGCAGAGTCAGCAAGGGTTTCACCCATGTTCTCCAGGCTGCCAAAGACAACTGTAGGGCCAACCAATGCATGAGCACTGGGCATCACCTCCTGGCATCACTTCACTCTCTGATCAAACACCAATTTAAAGCTGAGTTTACAATGTTACCAATGGCCTGGCTGCAATCCAAAGCAGGAAAACTCTGTCATGGTTGGGTTCTAAGAGAAACACATGGACCAAGCTGGGGACAAGTGCTCCTAGTCCTCTGCTGTCTAAAACACAGGGCCAAGCACAAAGAGGTCTGGAGCTGGGCACACAGAGAGCCAAAGCAAAGGCCCTGCTGCACCACTGCTCATCATTACATGGAGCACCTGGGGAGAGGTGAAAGTAGGGTGACACCCTGCCAGAGCTCTGGGCAGTGGGTCTCTACATTTGTGCCTGCCCAAACTGCTGGAGCTGCACTGCCTGGAAAGGGATCAGAGGTGAGAGCCATCAGCTGCCATGGATGCAAAGTCCCCATCTGAACTGTGGCCGCAGGCTGACCTTGCTGGGAGATGATGGGGCTGCACCCAGGGACCCGATGGCCGTGGTGCAGGTGGCTGAGCACAGGGCAGACTCCCTTCCAACACCCCTGGTTTGCAGCTCACTGCCTTTCCCAGAGCTGAAATCCAGCAGGGAAAACTCAGCTGAGCCTGGCCACCTCTCCTCTCCTTCCAGCTGCTTTGCACCAAAAACTGAACACAGAAGATGTGCTTTGGGTTTGTTTGTTTTTAAGCTTAGACATTTTTCTCATCTCTGCAGCCTTAAGCAGACACAGGGCTAAGCCAACCTCAACCCACAGCCCCCTGTCAGAGCTCTGTTTGGGCTGGTGAAACCCTTTTGAACAGGGACCTTGGTACGCTGGGCAGAGGATTTTCACAAAGCCCCATCACAAGGACATGGTGAGGAATGACACCTCCATGGCAGTGATGCTCAATTCCTACCTCCTGCACAGGAGAAGTCACCTCCCACTCCCTCCCTTCCTCTCCAGCCTGTAAAACAGGGATTGTAACAATTGCAAGGCAAGGACTCACAGCTCAGACTGGATGGGAATAACGGAGCTAAACTCATCCCTAGCAGCCTGACCATCCCTGGAGAAGCACAGCAGGGTGAGGGCTGGCTGCTGCCTCCCAGCCTCAGCCCAGCACCCCCTTCCCAAGGGACACCCTGCGAGGTGCTGCTCCTCCCGTGGCCCTCCTGCATCTTCTGGGAGGGCCAGAGCTCGACTTGTTTATGCTGCCACGAATTCCCCAGCCTGTAAACAGTCAGCCCAGTGCCTGCCAAGGGGAGAACAATGTTTTCCAGCACTGCAGCACGGGCGTTCATACCACACACAGAGCTGCCAAAGCATAGCCAGGCCCGGTCCTGAACATCCCTCCACATCTGCACAGCAGAAAGCTGAGCCTGCTCCTGGAAAGATGGGAGCCTCCTCTGGCAGGGAAATGTGGGCTCAGCTCAAGCAATTTTACTTGCAGGCTCTCAGGACCAGTGCAGTGATCCCCTCTGCCTTGGGAATGCTGCTCCACTAGCAGTGAAGGGCTGGATTTGTTAAAACACCTCTCAAGGACTGGTTCTGTGGTGACCAGGCTTGCTGTGATCACACAGCCTGGTGAGCCCTCCCTATAGAGGGAATGAAAATATAAAAATGGGAAAGGAAGAGCATCAGCAGAGCTTGCTGGGAAGCTACAGTGCAGTGATATCTTTAACAGAATTAGCAAACTCTGGATCAGGCTCTTCCATAATCCCAGAGAGACCCCCAGGGGACACATCACAGGCATCCCTGCATGAATGGGAGCCTTACAAAGCTCCTCCCAGGAGAATGAGGGATGGTGAGGCTCCATCACCATGCCACTGGTCATGGCCTGGGCTTTACTCTCCTCATCTCCCTGCAACTCACATGAGAGATTCAGACAGGGAGAACTGGCATCTGCCCAGCCCAGCCCCAGGGAGCACAGCCCAGCTCACAAAAGCTGATCCACAGGACCAAGCCAGATACAAATAGCTGGAAAAAAAGCAGAAAAGGCTCATTTCTTATCCCTTTTCCTCCTTGCCTGATGTCCCACAGTGCCTGCCCAGCTCTCCAGCACACCCAGCATTTTGCTGGCAGGCGGCTGGTACCATCCCTGGCTCCAGGAGCCCAGGGGCTGCTGGAGTGCAGATCCCAGAGCTGAAGCTGCAGCCAGAGCAGTGTGGCCTCTGGCTGAAATAAAGTTCCTTCATCCCATCCACCCTGCAGCCTGGGAAAGCTAAAGAACAGGAGTTTGTAGGCAGCAGGATTTGGACAGACAAGTCCCCAGCATGCTCTCCCTGCAGGTGGGCACCCTGTGGGACACTTTCATCCCCCCTGTGCCACCCTGCAGGTCCCCAAAGGAGCCACCAGCAGCAGAAGCCTCTCAAGCTGAACAACCCAGTTATGCAAACCCCTCCTGCTGGTCTTTATTCCCACCAGTAAATCACTGGTTTTGGTATTTTTTCCCTCATATTTGTAGCACGGCTGCCTGAATACAAGAAAACTCATGAGCAGGGATTTGACCCAAATTGCTGGAAATACCAGCAAAGATGAGGGCTCTGGTATACCAGCAGCAGTGCAGCCCCTTGAGCCCTTAAAACACCCTCTGACTGCTCAAACCAGTGCTGGGCTCCCAGGAGAACTGGCAAGGGAGCTCCTGTGAGTCCTGACACCCTTCAGGGTGTTCCCCTCCTGGATGTGCCCATGGGTAGCACACCCCAAGATGCAGGAAGATGCACAGGACTATGGAGCACATCACACTGACAGCTTTAACGACAGCTGAACTCAAGCCAGCTCCTTGGGAGCAGAGTTTGCTGACTCCAAAGGCAGGGACCCCAGCGCTGAGCCCGAGTCGCTGCTCCCGAGGAGACTCCGGGGAGGACAAACATCATCGTGGAACAATAAAAACAACTGGCCGAGCACGTTTCCAGCAGCTGGTGCAGGGGGAGAACTCACCCACGACCATGATGTTGAACTCGAACCCCTGCTTCATGGCTTTCCGTCTCAGCTGCTCCAGGATGGCGTCTATCCCCACGTAGCCGAAGTCCGCAGCCGGTTTCTCCGGCCGCGTCGGCGCCGCCGGCTTGGGGCCGGCATCCCGTGGAGTGTCTGTCATGCTGGGTGCGTGGCTGGGAACTGCCTCTGGACCTGGGGAAGCAAAGAGAGGCTGGTCAGATGGGCAGGCAGTGCCAAACACGCTGTGTGCTGCTCCTGGTAGGGAATCAAAGGAGCTGCCTGCTGGATCTGAAGCGGGAATAAAGCACGTGGAGAGAGCGGAGACTCAGGGCACCAAAAGGCCGAGAGGGAGGAGGTATGTGGGAACTTCCTTCACCTGAAATTACACTCAGTTTGGGACTTCCCTTTTAACTCACTGGATTCACCTTGATTCCTGCCCACTTCACCAAAGCTGCCACAGCAGAGGAATGTAAGGGGGTGTAAGCACACCAGGTCCCACAGAGGCCCATCTGTTGCTGTGGAGCAGGACCCAGCACCCAGAAAGTCTCAGCCCACAGGTGGGAGTTTGTTTACTGAGTGACAAAGCAGCCCTGCACCGCAGCCCTGTGCCCAGGCACTGCCACTATAGGCTGGCAGACCTTCTTACCCAGCCTGCCAGCTCCTCCATACCACTGGAATTACAGCACTGTGCAGACTGCTGGTGTGAATGCCCCATGGCCACGTTTTGGGGAACTGGATAGCTTTGCAGACACAGAGAAATCCTTGGCACCTACTGACACGTGCTCTCCTGGAGCTCCAGCTGACACAGACCAGAGGCTGCCACCCAGGCTTGCAAAAAACCCAACACATTTGCATCAAAGTGGGTCGTGCCAGACAACACCCACACAGACATGGAGCTCTTGTGATCTTGCTCTAATTCTGTCAATATTTACCCCAGACACCCAAGCCCTTTGGTGTCACACAGAGACAGGGTGCTTGTCTCCCCTGCAAGACGCTCCAGATTAGCAAAGCCCTTCAGAAGAAGCAAATGTACAACTACTGCCTCAGTCAACAGCTTTGTAACAAAAACCAGGGAACCATCCACTTCCCCAGGCAGGAGCATCAGCCTGCAGGAAGGACTAACTGCCCCATGTGCTCCAGGATGATGCAGTCTGCTCCCACCCAGCTCCAGCTGCTCCATGTCACCCACAGTGGATACAGCAAATATCCCGAAGGCAGCATATGCAGAAGGTCAGCCTGGTCCCTGTAAGCTCCTGGAGGCATCAGCCACGCACAGCATGATCCTCTGATCCAGGCATGGAGAGGGAGGTTACAGGAAAACACACTTCTAAGAGCCCTTAGCACCCCAGCCTGTTGCTGCTCAGTGCCTGGGTGCCTACAACCACCATCCTAAGCGAGCATTTTATTGTTGTTCAGCTCTTTGCAATGCTTATTTATTTTCTTTTTATCATTTACTATTATTAATAAAAACATTACTATTTGCAAAGGACTTATTGCAAAGTCCTCTCCCCTCCAGAAAGCAATACAGCTCTCAGCTCACCTCACCAAGGTTATTTCTGGTCTCCCACAATGTGCTGCCTGGTCTTCTCTCCCTCCCTCTCTCTATGGGAGTGAGGCTGGGCCAAAGGGGCTCCTCCAAACACATGCCCAGTATCCCTTCTCCTCTGGTGACAGGCTGGAGCCACGTCAGACCAGAGCCTGCTGGGTTCTTTGAGGCAGAACCACTCTCTTTCTGCGAGCACAGCCAGTTTCCACACGCTCAATATAGGCCGAGGAGAAAAAAATTATGTAAAAAAATAAGAAAAAGCAAATCTAGAACTGATCCCAAAGACTGTTGGGGCATTTTGAACACTTTTTTCCAACCCTCAATCCCGAGCTGTGCAGCTGACTGTTACTCACGGAGCTGCTAGAGAGCAAACACGCTGTTGCTGACACACACGGGAGCATCTTGCTCCTCCCAGGGACACTGCACAGCTGGAAACGTGCTGCCACGCTGCCCCTTGCAATGCCAACCAGCCCAGTGTGCCAAGGGATCTCACCACAAATCCCAAATTAGCTCCGTTCCAAAACGGCAAGGCCAAAAGTAGGAAAAAAAAAAATAAATTCCTACATAACACCAGAAAAACAAAACGACAACTAAATCATGTGGAAAATATGCTGCCACAAGCAACAACGCTGGGTTATGCAACGGGTGTAACTCCTCCAGGCACCTCTTCTGTGCACCAAGTGCCCTGGCCCCGTGGGATGGGACAGCAAACTGGGACACTGGTGCAGGTAAGGTGCAGCAGCATGCACAGAGAAATAAAGAAATTAAACAGAGAAGAAAGCCACCATCCACTTGTGACAAAGGCCAGGGGCATCTCCAGCACCTCCTGGCTGCTCGAGCTCCACTAAGGAGCCAGCAGCGTGCAGAGGGGCTGACCCAGCAAACCTGTCCCCAGCATGGGGAGCAGGCACTATGTGCTGCCTCACCACATTGCCTTCAGTGGGAGAGGGGGGACTCAGGGCTTCACAACCAGACCAAAGCCACAGGAAGCACGGGGCAGTGGCAGGCAGGACCTTGTCACATGGAACATGCAGGCGTGGCCGCCCTGGATGTGCTCGAGCAGCACCACCAGCAGTGCAGCCCACGCTGCTTCCGTTTATCTGCTGGGAAAAGGTGATCTAAAGCACCTGGCACCTGGGAAAAATACAATAAAAGTCAATATATTGCATCTAGGAGCATCTGCAGGACAGCATGGACACAAAGACACCAGTGTCCCAGCAGCACCAGCAGACAGGCTCCCAAGGGAAATACCACAACCCAAACCTGCAATTTTTTCTTCAGCTTCCCAGCACTGAGCTGGTGTTTTCTTAGCAAGGACTCCAGTATCCCACTTGGGTCCAAGGGGGTTGTGCCAGCAGAGGCAGCATGCAGGGCCACTGCAGCACAGACACATAGGGATGCTGTGCTGGGTGGCAGGGAGCACTCCCCGGGGTCACTCATCTCAAATAGAAAGACCCTAGAAATAAATTGGAGCAGAGCTGTGCATGTCTGGGACACATCATGGGCAGATCCTCGACTTGTCTGACCCATTGTGCTCTCTGTGGTGCCAAACCTGTGGTGCTGTCAGAGCCACTATCACTGAGCTGACCCTTATGGAGCACTGCAAAGAGGGATGGGTTAATAAACACCCAATTACTGTCTGAAATTCCTGATGGCCACTGAGTCCCTGGAAAAGCAGGATTAGACCTCACATGCCATTGCTCCACCAGTGTCACTGTAACCTGGCTGTTGTCCCTCCCACAAGGGGACACTGCTCTGCTGATAGGGCAGAGAGCCCAGAGCCTGCAGCTCTCTCCTGCTCAAGTGTTCCTGGATAAACACAAAGCACATGGAAAGATGTGCTTGTGCCATATTTAGACCTTCTCTGCCAGGAAAACCCTCTCCACGTGGGCACCAAGATGGTCAGGGCAGCACTGCACCGAGCGCAGACAGAGCCAGAGCTCCAGCTCAGGCACGGGCTGACTCAGGACAGCTGCTCCAAAGTTGATTTTGCCAAAGACTCCAGGCTGTTGCACTATAATTGATGCATGTCAGGCACGAGCCAAACCCAACATCTGTGAAGCAGCAGACGAAAGGCACCCCATGGGGAGGGAAGCCTCTGGGAACCCCCCGGGGACCCTCCTGCTCCTTCAGCCAGCTGGACTCTGTGCATGGGACGGGCTTGGCAAGGGGCTGCAGCAAACTGAGGGCTCAGAGATGCTGTGCTGATGCCACACGGCTGCCACAGCCCAGGGCACTGCGGGCAGGGGATGCAAGGACAGCCATGGGCTCACCTGAAACCCAGAACCTGGGCTGGCAATCCTCGCTGAGGATCTGGGAAAGGGATATGTAAGAGACTGGTGTCTCCACTGCAGATACACAAAGGTCAGAGAACCCTCACAGAGCCTGCACTGGGACCCCAGGTCCTGGCTAGACCCAGCAGCTCCATGCTCTGCTCCAGCAATGCACAGGGAGCAGGATTGTGGTGATCTGGGAGAGCAAAGCTGATCCTGGAGTGGGGCTGGCCATAGACCTGGTGCTCAGTGGCTGCAAAGAACAACTGGAGAGAGGCCAGGAGGCTCCACCTCTGCCATGGTTGCCTGTCAACAAATCCAAACCATTGGCAAACTACACAGATGCACATGCAATCAACAGCAAAATGCTAATGCTTGCAGGGTAAATCCAAGAAGCACCCCTCAGGAGCACCAAGCACTGGCCACCTTTTGGTGATGGTGTAACCAGTTTTGCAGAGCTACAAGCACCCAGAAGACCAGGACACTGTGGTGGGGATAGCTCCCCTTTCCTCCACACAGCAGACACTAGAAACACCAGGGGCTTATGGATTTATGCAAAGATAGAGAGAAGATGCAGAGCAGTGAACAGTGCTGTATCAGGGTGTGAAAGTAAAATCACCTCCTGGGCAGCTGAGCATCCACAGAAGTTTTCAAGGGAGCAATGTGGACAAACTAACCTTTTGATTTTTGGGAGCAGCTATCTTAGAAAATTGTGCCTGTAGGGAGTAACAGAGACATTTTTAGATCTAAGGAGTGAATTTATAGCTCCTGGTTAAGCACAGCTGGCCGGCAGGACTGCAGCACGCGCAGCCTCCAGGGCCTCTCCCCTTGGCACACTGAGCCAGAGACCACAAGCTATGGAAACCAATCCAACCTGCGGAGGAGGTGGCAAAGCCACAGCTCTCCCTTCCGAGGGGACAGGAGGAGTCGGGAGGGAGGGAGCAAAGCCAGGACTGGATGCAAACCCAGCATGGCCCAGGCAATACTGCTTTTCTCATCTGCCCAGTCATTGCCACCATGGGATCCCCTAGTGCTGAACGTGGCAGGTCCATGCTGGCCCCACAGGGATGTGTGGGTATCAGGGAATGTGAAGCACAGCTTGGTCTGAAACTTGGGGAGGGGCATTCAGCACCCCAGAAGTGGGCTCAGCCAGGCACACAGAGCAACTGCTGCAGACCCTGTAACTAAGGGACTTTGCTATTATTCAACTGCAATCAGCTGCACCTGGCTGGCACTGCCAGGCCCGAGCTGGAATCTGTCCCTTGCATCCCTCGGCATCAGGCTGCAATTTCAGGCTGGCCAGCAGCCCAGGCCCACCTACCAACCAGTTATGTTTCCTTCTCAGCTTGCATTTCCACCTGGGTGCCAACAAA